TAAGTCTTTTGATGATAATGGGTGGAAGTATTGCAAAATTTCATGTTCCTAGCTGCATAAATGGAGAAGTTATAGCGAAAAATCCCATATCTGAACAATCAGTTATATGGGAGCTATATGTTATAGTGGTCCGATTCTTCCGGTTCCGACAAATGATTAATACATTATTAAAATACACCCACCTACCAAATTTCATCCGGATATCGCGAAAACTGAGAGACTAGATTGCATACAAACAGACAGACAGACGGACAGACGGACAGACGGACATGGCTAAATCGACTCAGCTCGACGTTGTGATCATTTAAGTATACATTTTAATGTGTCTATCTCTTCGTATTCTGGTACTTACAAACATCGGACCAAAGTTATAATACCATTTCATGCTCATGAAAGGTATAAAAAGCAATTATGACTTTTTCGAGTGACAACGAAAAAAATATTAATTTCGGTACTTGTTTGGCGATATAACCGCCTAAGTGATTTTGGCCGAGTCCAAAACACCCAGCCAGTCGTTCCACTTCTGTGCCAACTGACGCCATTTTGAAATGCCGATTGAAGCCCAAGGCCTTCTATATATTAGGGCTGTTCGGAGTGTTATGCATATGATCTTGCCTTTGAATATTTAGGTGTATTTGTGAATTCACAACAATAAAATGAAAACGGTTGCCATGGTAGCAAGCATAAAATTTGCAAATGCAATTTCAAATTCAAATCCAATAACATTTCCACAATATCCTGAATAGCCCTACTGTCTGCCTCCATTACCAGCATCGTGATTCTCATTGTTTATTTTCATTCAATTTATTTCCATCCGTACGACATGCCAACGGAGCCGAAGTATGTCCACATCATGTAGAACCCATATTGCTCACTGTATAAGACAAGAACCGCCCCTCAGATGTTTTCATTGTTCTTTCTTATGCTCCATACTCTAGATCAGACATGATGAGTTACTTATAGAGCGTGATTTTTTTACAACGGCTTGGATAACACCTTATAGGCGATGTTTAGAAGAATGGTTCCGCGGTAGTTGGCGGCTATGACGGGGTCACCCGTCTTGTAGATTGGGTAGAGTACAATTAAATTTCAGTCGTCTTGCATAGTTTATATCTCGTAAATGTCGGTTGTTGGGCCTTCGATTCTGTCATCTTCGGGTGGGCACCCCGGGGTTTCTTCCGTATCGGCGTCTCCGCTGTTACCATTCCATAGTGCGTTTACCTCTTTAATTTAAGTATGGTTCACACATCGGTCTTTAAATCGCTGTGGTTGCTCTCACATGACTTAGTCCTGTTCTTGGAACCTTCTGTAGGTCGCGCCACTTCCTATGTACTAAAATGTTCGTACGCTTTTGCTGTTGGACTGCATTTCAAGCTCTCCTTTTACTACGAAAATACGCCACAGTTTTCTCTGTGGCATAGTCGATTCGACTACCGGTTGTTCTCTCAGACTCGCTGGAATGCAAGTATTTCTTCTTCTCAGACAGCAGGTGAGGGAGTTGACTGCCCAAGATGCTGGCAATCTGAGGTAATTGCAGCTCTTCAACGTAGAGCTTTCTATGCATTACTTAGCGCAAATTTTTATCTGCGCAGGGTCCAACAGATAGTTCACCTAGTTTGCCCCTCGGAACCACTTTAGCTAGAACCTAGCGCTGCAGACTGCCATTTTTCTAGTGTCTGCGAAGTTCATCAGCCTCAGACGGTACCTTTTTGTCGTAGAGGTAGCATTTTCCGATCCCTTTTCCTAGTACCGAATTTACTCATCCCCAAATGTACTAATCAAAGTAAGAACTTTGAAGGAATCTGCGCACAGACTACGCCTAATTGACATATACCTGCATGGTGGCTAATTCACATCGCCCCATGGCGAGGTAACCATACACATGTAGGCCACATTTTTCGTTTGGGTTCAAAATATCGGTTATCACCGCTCGGCACCAAAAAATTCACATCAAATAATATACCTTTTTTGGTTGTAATGATGCCTGGTAATCCTCGGGCGTCTTCGCATATATACTATCAGTGATAATATAGCATTACCCTTTGCATAAAAAATATGAAATAGGTTTATTCGATTACAAAATTAACCACACGCATATTTATCGGAATTTCATTTGTGTTCGTTTCTAAAAGCCGCCTAAGTCCTATGGTTGGCTTTAAAATAATTTACATACTGTTAAGCGTTGTATATCAGCTACAAGGCAATAATATTTCAATAGCTAGTATAAGAGGTTCGCTGCGCCTTGTTGAGCGCAGATTTTTTTATTAATTTGCATTCAAAAATTACTCACCTCCCCGTCTTCGTTATAATCATCTCTGTGCCCAATTCATGAAATTTATCCCACAACTCCTTCGTCTCCAGGTGACATTGCACCGGCAGCAACTCATCACAGTTACAAGAGCCAACAATTTTCGGCGCGGACTGTCAACAAAACAAAAAAACTAAATTAGTCACGAAAGTGTTCCTTGGTAAGAAAATGGGTTTTGCTGACTTTGCGTTTTACCTGCGGTGGCTCCGGCGACAGGCGGTCCTCGTCGTTCGCAGTAGGGCTGCTAGGACTGTGTGGCGAGGCGCGCCCCCGACTACAGCTGCGACTCGAATGCTGTTGACCACCAGCGCCAAGGCTGGTGCTCCCATTTGTATTGCTGCTGGTGCTATGATTGAGATGAATCTGGTTGTGGTGGTGATGCCGTTGCAATTTGTGATGCGTTTGTGATTGTTGCTGTTGTTGTAATTGATGGCGATGATGCCCACGCATTGGACGCGCCGACTGTGATTCAGAGTCACTGCAATCGACGACATCCACATCGACATCATCGTCGGGATCGGGGTAACGCTCCACGGAAACCGGGCCTGAAGTCAAAATAAAATGTAGAATACATAAGAAAAGTGTAAATTGCAGAGCTCATTCAAGGCCGACAAAATATTCAACTACGCTACGCGAATGAGTAGGCCCCAAACAGTATTATGTTGCAGACAAAACGCAACTCCTACCATGGCGCATGCATCAACTTCTCGCTGTCAAATGTTGCAAGCAATTCGAGTGCCAGACAGAACGGCCCCTCTGTTATCGCTATTATTTATGCAGACTGAAATATGTATATACATATTTACATTCCTATATTGCAACCTGAATGCACTCACTGCCGCTAATAAGCTACAATTTTGCACAGACACACATGGGCTGCCGCCAATTGAATTGGCTGCCATTGTGACAGCAGCAACAATGTGTGGCAACTTACATCTACAAGTGACGGTGGCTTTCGGTGGGCAAATGTACATATGTACAAGCAACATGCCCGCAGTGCGTAATAGGCGCCGCGTAAATGCATATTTCAGATATGGAATTCAATTATTTGTTTTATGAAATTATTTTATGCAAATTAATCGTCCAATTGGCTGTGCCGCAATTTGCACAATATTCTCACATATTTATTTATGTACATATTCCGGTTGTGTGGTAATTTGTGAGTGTCCATTTTTTTTTTCGTACAACATTCATTTTCTACAATTATGCCTATAAATAATTTAGATAATTTGCTCAATAACTACGCACGTAAATAAATCTTTTTATATGAATGTAATTTTTGACGCTGATTTTATTGTAAATGTGCTGCCACAATTATCAAGTCATCAAAGCTTGTTCATTTCCATCATTCGTATATTATTAACATGAAGCAATTTTTTGAGTTTTTTGCACTTAGTTATTAAATTGTTTAATAGCACTCCTCACGTCACAAAGTCGTATGTATTAAGCGTTTAAGCTGAATTGGGTTAATTATGTTTTTGTTGAGCTTTCAAAAACTGGTTCAATGTATGTAGATACAATAAAACGAAGCCAATAAAACAAGGTTTCGGAGAAGATGCATTTTCATCTCATTTCAAAGGACTATCAATTCTAAAGAATTGTGGTGAAAAAACGAAATACCTCTTATTACTCGTGTTTATTGCGGTTCTTTAAGACAGGGGTTTTTAAACTTTTAAGATGATGGAACCCTTTCTAAACACCTATAATTTTATGGAAGCCCACTTCAAGTTACTAAAAATCAAAGGCAGTGCAATTTAGATATGAATAAAAGCTTTTACTAGAAATAAGTATGTATACTTTTAATTTTAATGTGAATGAAATGAATTAATTATTGTATAAAATAGCAGCTCGATATAATGTCTGAAAGCTGTATGCGCATTTCTGGGGTAGCACCCAATTTCGACCTGAATTTATTTTTTATATAAGTGTAAGCTGAAAACCCTGTTGACCGGGTACGTTGTGACAGAAGGAAGCAAAGTTAAGAGGCCTTTTTAGCGACTTCATGATATTTACTCCTACACAGGAAACATACATCTGGTATTTGCATTCTGGAAATTTATTGTGGTATTTAAAATACTACCATAGTGACAGACATTAACTTAGTATTTCAGTGTCAAATCATATGTTTCTGAATACCAGCACATAAACATAAAACTGCAAAAATAGTGGAAAAATTTGCGTATATATTGCATCAAAATTTGAGGTATAAACTTTTCGGTTCAAATTTCAATGATTTTTTGTTAAATGAGCAGGTGACATCTGTAATTTTTGGGTATGTTCAGTGCGAAACGCCCATTCACAATAAGAATACCACAAAATCAAACCTTCGGAAAGTTGCATTCTTTCTACAAAAAATACATGGTTGCTCGCTCACGTAGTCTTTTGAAGAATATTATAATATTTGGTGACAGACATATGGTATTTTGGAAATCCCAGGTTAACATTAACCCAAAACTCTTTCAGAGACACAGATTCAAATGAGTGTTTCAATTTCGAAGTACTCGAAACATCTATGAATGCTTCGTAAATGGATTTTGTACCAGACCGATATTACTACTACCATCCGAAAAATATTCTGGCAAAGATTTCCGGTGATTTACCAAGTGCCCAGTTATGATATTTCACATTTAATTTGGCAATTCATCGCGTTCCTTCCAGAAAGTTGTACATAACACTTTGGCTACAGCGCACATAGGGGTATTTGAACGATTTAGGCGGCCAAAAACCAATTTGACAAAATTTTGACGGAAACTTAAAAGATTAGTCACATTTGATAGAGAATATTCCAAATAACATTTCCCAGTTCCCTTCACTTTTTTACCTTGCACAGCGAACGCTCACCGTTGACCGGAAACAGAATATTCTAACGCTGCATATACATAAATAAATTTTCGCTCTCTAGAAACATCGTGACGGTTTTAAGTTAATACTTTAGTTTCTGCATTGTATTCTTTAAAAGTATTGATGGATCCGCATACAGAAGGTATTTGTTTAATTACTTTATTAAGCAAAAGTTAAGTTTAAAAGTAACGAAAATAGCGGTTTTCAACGAGTATTTTTTTTTAATTTTTGTTGAATATTAAGGAATTTGTTGTATCCCGGGAGAGATCGCGTTATTATTCTTTGTTCAATTGAAAGCTTGGAAATTTGGCTAATGTAGTGTGAAAAGATTTCCCGCCGAAAATGGCAGATAAGTGATATTTATTTACTTAGAAAATGTATTAAAGAAAAATCTAAAAACGCAACTAGTATATAGTTACACTACTTTAGATATATTTAAACAATGAAATTTAACTTTTTAGATGAATTTGAGGCCGCTGGACCATAATATGAATCCAATTAATTAAAAACAAATAGTCTCGGTATGAGCCTTACTTTCCATACAACGGTGATTTACAGAAACACGAAAACTGCGCTAAATCGGTAACTACTCAAGCTAATTCACTCAAAATCTATTCTTGAAATAACCTCTTATCATTAAATAAGATTATTATAATTTTTTGGATAATAGGCGTGGCGCCGCCCACTTATGATCACAAATGTATACCTCGGTAACCCATTTATCAATTCGTACCAAACTCGGTGCACTTAATAACCGTGGTATGAAAAAGCAATACGATGAAAATATTTCAGTAATTGAGGACGCTCATTTACTCCAAGTTAATACTTACAACATTTTCTTAACAATAAATATTACTGTTATTATTAAAAACATGTTGTGTTATTACATTTTCTTACCTATACTGTGATAGTACATATTTGAATTATCTAATTCTCTAAATTAAAGTTGAATCTGATTTTTTAAACCGGTGGTAACCCTGGGAGGTCGCTTAGAGGTAAAGCCTTTTCAAACCCACTTCCATTGAAACCCATATTGCAGCAATTCATTTAACTAATTGAACAAAATTTTTTAATGGGTGGCAACTCTGTTAATGTTTTAACACAGATATAAAGTTTCTCCTCGCCGAGACGAACACGTAAATATGCGGGTTCCTACAATCGGACCACGGCAACATGGAGTCTATCGATATCAAACTTTAAGCAACTTTATTTTCTTTGTTTTGATGGAAGAATTGGACGTTTACAATTCTATATGTCAAAACACGTATTTTCTAAACATTTCGAGTTGAAATATTCATAAAAATAATTTTGGCCGCATAAATCGGGCAAATACCCCTATCTGCAGCGGCCAACAATACATACTGGTTAGAAAAAAAACAAGCTGTCAAGCACAAGCTCAACGCTCTTATGCAGGTACGGCAATCATACCAACTACGAGTACATATGTATACTTGAAAATATATAATAGCGTCTCGGTCAAGCTATTTATAGAACTTTTCTTTCTGTGTGCAACTCAAACCGACCGCCGTGCTTATTCATGACAAAATGAATGTCGAGGAATTCCGGTGACTTTTCTACGGAACCTTTGGGTTCCGCGGAACCCACTTTAGGAAGCTCTGCTTTAAAAAACGGCAAGCCAAATTTTCTACTTTATTTGTCTCACTTTAAATAGGCTTTAACACAAGAAAGGTATTAGATTGAACAAGCAAAAGTGCACTTATTATTGACACAAATTCCATCATTTAAATCTTTTAGTGGCCAAAAGTCTCTCGCTAATTCAAACATATGGCAAAAAAACAGTAAGGAGAGTGTTGTCTTCGGCTATGCCGAAGGCTTCTAGTTTTCATGAACATCAGAAAATTGTACTTCAACCGATTACTGCATTTTAAATTAGTTGCATGGGAGCTAAACAAAATTTTACCTTCACTACACACAAAGATAGAGGAGATATTTAAAATCTCATATCTGAACAATCAGTGGTATAGAATATATGCCTTATAAAGCATCGGTTTTAGCCGTCTATGTGAAATAGAACCCCATTCTGAACAATCAGTTGTATGGAGGTTGTAAGTTATAGTGACCCGATCTTTGCCATTTTCACTTAAGCTTTCTGTTGGAAGAGCAAAATTTCATGTTCCTAGCGGTGTGAGGCTGATTGACTTCGCTGGGGTAGTATTCAGTACTAGGCTCACACATAAAAAGATCCGTCAAGCTACGTGGCTGTCTTCACATCGAAAAAAACAAGATATGTAATCGACAGTGTTGTTTGTGATAGACGGAAGGCACGGTCCAGTGTTTAAGACGTACGTACACTCCGCGATCCAAACATCGACTCGGACCGCTATCTTTTTACAGCAAAGATACCAACCGCCTCGGTGCAGCAAAAAATTTGTGTCCAACAATGTAAAGAAAGTCCGCAAAAACAGATATTGCCTACACGGCCACGCTGCTATCGGGCGTAACGCAAGCTGTGTGGCAAAGTCGATATATTTACGTGAATAGAAAGAACTTGAAATGCTGGGCGACAGAAAAAACGCCCGAAAATTTGGTCTTGGAAAAGACCCACTAGAAAAACATCGGCACTCACCGTCTATTTGTCAATTTCAAAGCCGCTTTCTACAGCACGAAAAGAAGTAATACCACCACCTTCGTCAGAATTGGGAAAGACTTATCCGAGCCGTTTGCTAAGGATTCAGAATATTGT